CCACGCCAAGGTGCAGTCTCGCCGTGATGGAAATTGCTGATTACTATAACTTAAGAAAAACTGATTTTATTTGCAGTAAGAAACTCACCTCTCGAGCAGACATTTGTGGTGATCAGTACACGACATTCCGCCTCACGAAACTGGTGTAAAACATGTTCGCGCTCTGAGACATCTAGGTCACCGGACAGAATAACAACACGATGCCCATCCATAGTCATCCGATCGTTCAACCAGCTGGCCTCCTTACGAGTCTGATAAACAAAGTGACAGCACACAGATTTGAGGATGNACTTCAAATCGACGAGACAGCGAGCAGAACGTATTGAACAAATTCACGTATTATGATTTCACAGGAGAAGAGTATCCAGCATAAAGAGTTACTGTCGGCGGAAGTAGAATCTGATAGCGTCAAATTGCTGTTCACTTGGTAGAATGCGGGTAAATGTTCTAACCCAATCCTGAATGAGTGCTTATTGATCTAGATCAAGGAAATAATTGTTTTCTGCGATTGTTTAGCCTGCATATAAAGGCCGTAAGTGAAAACAACACAGTACTCAGAACAGAATTTCATAGATGACCGGACAATAAGGCGTACGCAGTAGTTGGTCTGAAGTCGTATCAACTTACATCACAGAATATGATGGCTTGGCCGACTTGGAAACCCCCGTATATATCTGTCAGTGCTTGGTATTTTTCCACCCAATCATTAAAAAGCAAATAGAACTGTTTGATGTTTTTCAGAGGTAGCTGAGTGCGCTTCACACGTATCTCAATTGGATTGGGAACATAGTCTCGAGCGAATTCCATAACCTGTTCGTCGTAGGTAGCGGAAAACAGAAGTATCTGACAGGCAGGGGACAATTTACTGCCGAAATTGGGTCGGGAGGGGGGATAACAATGGAAAAGAGATAAAGAATACTGTGAATTTTTGAAGTTGACTGACAACCGCGTTTATCCTGGTGGCAACATACATTCTGCATTAGCCAAAATTAGGATTGAAGAATATCACAAGTTAGCTATTTGGATCATCGAGAAGACGGTTAAGTCTGAAAAATTTGGTTCACACGAGATAAAAACGACTGTGAATCGATGGTAAAAGTTCTCTTTCGCGAATGAATCTACCGAGCACTGTCATAAGCCCAGTTTCGACTTGGTTTAAACTAAATCAAATCAGTGAAATATCGCTTCAATCTTTTGCGAACTCTTCTTGACTAATAATGCATCAGTGAATGAAGAGTGTCTATTCAGAATGAATACCGAATATACCGAGAAGTTCAAAAAATTACATTAATGCTTCTTAAATATTCAGTTATGATTTAGAAAAATGAGATGCTTGCTTTTTAGGTTTGAAAACGCAGAATTTTTTCACAGACTATTTTCTGGAATTCTTGTATCGTTGTATGGTCCTGTCTCTTGAAAATAGACTGTAATGTATGGCGAAGGGGTTTGTAAGTAAGACTGTTTCTAAGTTCAATTATTGGTTCCCCATGATTAATGGTTCAGTTTGTGAGGTGATCACATACGGGGATAAAATCATTGAGGATTCTTGAGTCCAATACAAAGTGCCACCTTAGACTTCTCTCTGGAATTGCATAACTGGCCCTTGAACCGCTAAGCACTATATATAAGGCAATGGGATAGAAGTGAAACTTAACATTGTCGGGTCAGAAAGATCGTTTTCCAGGACAATGTTAGACATTTCATCAAGGATCAGCGCTGACGGACCATACGGTGAAGACTGTTCACATAATCAGAACACAGGTTGTAGACGAACATATGTTTTCGGTGAGTTCCTTATCAAGCCAGTACAATCACATTTATGTGAGAAAATAACGGGAGTGTTGTGTTAGGGTCAAACACTCGAGGTCAAATAATCATAGCAAAAGGGGTGGGGTAGGGACACATTTGTCACTCGATCTCATTTTTAGATAAGAACGGGTTACGTAAGCGTTGGTAATTGACTTGAGTTATGGCAACGCTCATGCGTGATGTTGTCCGCTTTGGGCCAGAGGAGTTTAAGTGCCTGAACAGGTGTTTTTGAGCACACAATTCTGGCTTCAACAAGCGGATGATAATTGTCTCGGCTGTTGCTAACGTTTTAAATCAAACAGCCTTGGAATTGTGTTGTTGGACGCGATAAATGGTGGTGAAAGCCGAATTAGTATCCACCCTATGTCCAGTTTCGGCCAAGTGTGCAACAATGGAACTGGAAATAACTACGATTCCTCCGTGTCTAAGCCAAGCAGGTTGATGCGCTTAGATAGCTGCCTTTTCGTACGACCTACATAGCCAATTATCCAAGCAATTTACTGCTCTCCAACGCGTATGGTAGAGTACACCAATGGTTTTACCGCATGACGCTAAATCATATCAGCAAAAGATATCTATCACTGTGATTCACAAAATGAGTCCTACAGACAGTAAATTGGGAGCTTAATGAGAAGCGGTCAGATTCGGGATTGTGATTGCTACCAAGGTGTGACGAAGTAAATTGAGAATACTGTTAAGCGAATAAGGTCGTTTCCGGCAATTCACCAACTGGTTAATACATCACATTTTTCATCGCATCATTATGTATAACATGAAATAACATTGGGAAAAAACAATGCGGTGAACAAGCTTGCTCAGAAAATCATTCACCGGCCGATTACGGCATATCATATAACTCAGACAACAACGTAGAGCTGATGAATCAGATTCTCATTGTGTTGATAACAGTGAAGAGGGGAAACAGGACGTGGATGATCAAACACTGATTATGTAATTTCAAGTGCGATTCTACCGTGGATGCGGTTACCTGTCTTACACATTCCATTTTACCAATTAGCGATATGGCTGGGTGTCGCAAACAATGGCGCTCATGCATCTACTCATTATTCCCGTGACATCAGTCTATATAAATTCGCCATCTTTCGCTTGAATTTGCTCCCAACGTTCCAATATTCATTCTGCTGTTTCATCCAAATGGGCAACCCAAACCAGGGCACGAAAGTGCATGGTTGATGGTTGTAAGAACCGAGCTGAACTGAAGTTTATCAATTATCGATAAAAACAACAAAAGGTTATTCGAATTTGCATTCTGGACGCTCTAGGAACGCTTCACTGATATTATTAGAGCAACAGAATCTTACAGAAATCTGAGACTTTGGGTCTCACAACTTCGACACATGGGGATGTCTTCGGACGTAATTTCTAAATTTATTTTCTCGCGCGTTTTACGCCATTGAACTTACTCGTCGCCTGTGATCTCCGGTTTGTCTATGTACATACTGATTAGATGTTTCTCGACAAAAAGAAACACTGGAAATCAAATCCGATAGGCGAAACAAACTGTTTTTTATAAATTCACCAACCGGCCATTTACATTTATATAGTTAGTGCATTCAATATTGTTTGATCCTGTGTACGATGAATCTTATTACCCTGTGTACAAAGCGATACTAGGTGCGTCGACAATTTGATTGAGCTTCCCCTTGGTTACGTCCTTCCAGTTACCACGCTCGCATCGTTTGGTGGCTTGGCGACTGGTCATGGTAGCGATAATGCCTGGACGAAACGCTTCTGATTGCATAGTGGGGGGTCAAACAGTTTGATCGCAATAGCTTCAGCCGTGCGTAGAAGCATAAAGCGTACGGATTTAGATGATAACGGTGGAATACGATAAACGGCTCTGAACACTCGACTTACGTCCACTTGGTGACTGCTTTCTAGTAGGTGCTGGCAGATCGCGCTTCCCGCTGTCCTCGTTTCTCCGTGTGTTAACTATCTGGGGTGGTGTTCCTTTATTCTCTTTGACAATTGTCTTGTTGTCCGGCCTATGTAGCTCGCTCCACAGGAGCAAGTAAACAACTAGATGCACATGGAAACGCTCTGAGGGACAATCTGTCTTTGAGATGGAAACGAATTACTGGTGATGTGGAGAAACTAATGCGTAGTGTTGCCGT